GACTGGGACCAGCCTTGGAGACAAACCAATGCAGGACTCCCCTGCCACCCCAAAAGATACTATGCTTAATAGTATTGACAGCTGGTGAGAGGTTATGGAAATCAAGGATGGAGACACTAGCCCCATCCCCAACCCTTTCCCAATTACTGATTACTTAGCACCATTCATTCATTCATCTTCATTCATTCATGGGTTTGTGTGTGTGTGTGCACTGCTACCCTCAGAAAGATTCCCAGCAATTTACAACACGGGTGTCAAACTTGTGGTGTCATGTTGCCATCACATGACGTATCACAATGTTTTTCCCCTTTGCAAGGATGGGATGGGTGTGGCCTGCGTGTGACGCATCCAGCCTGCAGGTCGTCATTTTGACACCCCTGACCTACAACATCAAAATCAAAGCACTCACAAAGCAAATATTCGTAATAAAGTTGCCCTCATTCGTGATTTGGTCCCCCAGCCTTGTTGATTTCAGGATAGCTCAGTTTTCATGGCTCCATGGCAACCACGGATCTATCACAAGTGATCAGTAGCTCACCACCTGTCAAAAGCCACACAGTAGATCTGGTGTATGTCTGAGGCAGTTGCAACATGATCAGGTAATGTGAGATATGAACACCAGTCGTGCCACGAGAGAGAGAGGTCTCTGATTGTTTTGAACTCACTAATATCTCTCTCCCCCCTGCAGGGAGTTAAGGCTACTTGATCAACCCCTCCACATGAATAAGGAACCCCATGGATTTCCAGAGGAAGCTTGGTGGGTGGCTTGGCTGAGGCTTTAGGTACCACCTGGAACGGGGGCCTTGGGGCACATGATCCCTTCACTTTGAGGAATATTCCAAGTTTCTTGGAGTTGGACTCTAACTGGGCAAGTCTAACTGAGGTTCCTGGGGCTCAGCCTTGTGGCACAATCTGGGATTAGCCAGTGACTCTTGTAGAAATAGTTTATGAACTACCAATTTGGTCACATGCTTGTTAGATCTTGGCTTCTCCTGGATTGTAAACATGCCCCAGGATGTGGGACCTGAGACTGTGGTGTTGCTCTCTTTGAAGATTGTTGAGGTGATGGTCAGACTTCAGCTGCAGAGAATCCTGGCAGTAGTGAGTAGTGAACTTCAATGCATAGAATGGCTAGACTACTGTAGGATGTAAATTGGGGTGCAGAAGGGGGTAGGCTATGCAGATGTAGGTTGCAGATGTTATCAATTGACAATTGTGATGTGCTAAAAACCCATTGTATTGATTGGGACTTTCTGAGCGTATGCCTTTTAATAAAGCACGTTAATCAGAAAAGGGGTTACCAGACTTCTGGGGGATTTTTTGCTACCAAGGCTAACATGGCTGCCCTCCTGTGTTTTCCAAGAGTAGCTAAAGGTCCATAAGGGCATTTTTGCTGAAAATCGTGAAAATTAAGGAACTTTGCAAGGGGCATGGTAGGGGAGAGAAAACCAAGAGTGCAGTCTCTCTCTCTGCTACTTCTTGCTTTCTGTCCCATTGATACAGGTCTATGCCCATGCAGGAGCAGAACTGGAAGGCAAGATCTACATCACTTGCGGGAGGCGAGGAGAAGAGTACCTAAAAGAGCTGCAGTGCTACGATCCGGCCACCAATCGCTGGGACATCTTAAGTGAGAGTCCCATCAGGAGAGCCTGGCACGGGATGGCTGCGCTGTTGGGAAGGCTCTATGTGATTGGAGGCAGTAACAATGACTCTGGCTACAGAAGAGATGTTCACGAGGTGAGGCAGCCTTTGGCTCGGTTAATGGTGTTTTTATTGCACGCTGCTGATATTTAGAATACTTGTGTAACAATGACCCAATACAAAAGACTTGCATACATTACTTGAAACTATTAACCAAATAATCATCCAATCCCCATCGCATCCAGTCATTCCCCAAATGCCCTTTTAAGAAAGGCCTCACTTCTACAGGGAACCTTCCTAAGTAAAGATGCCATGTCTGAAGAACACATGTTCTGGCTTCAGGTATAAAAGACACAAAAATGGAGGTAGTAGAAAACTCCTGCTTGCTAGGTTCAGCTTCAAACCTGTTTTTTTCCCATCCAGACTTGAGCAAAATCCCAGGACAAAACAGCACTTACAACTAAATTGGAGGGGGGGTGGGCTCCATGAATTTTCCTTCCTTGCCAAATTTGCAATTGAAATAGGAATGGAGACATTGTAGGCCCATGACCCCAAATCCCAGCCCTATTAGGCAGTTGGAGGTGAAGAAGCAATTAAGGAGAAACTTAATAGTGATAGTGAGAACAATTAACCAGTGGGACAGCTGGCCTTTAGAGGTTGTGGGTGCTTCATCACTGAAGATCTTTAATAAGAGACTGGACAGCCACTTGTCTGAAATGGTATAGGGTCTCCTGCTTGGGCAGGGGGCTGGACTAGAAGACCTCCAGTCCTTTCCAGCTCTATTCTGATTGATGGTTAACAATATCAAAAGCAGCTGAGACCAAGTTGACTGAAAGCTGCCAAGATGAACTTGTTAACCTGTGATGAGCACTTTTTAGGTAAGTGCTTAGAGCCTCTTAAGATAGTTTAAGCCAGTATTTCTCAACTTTGGTCCCTTGAAGATAGGTGGAATTCAGTTTTCAGAACTCCCCAGCCAGTCAAGCAGTCAGGTTTGAGAAACAGCCTCTCCTCTCTGCAAGAAAGAAAATCTATGAAAGGAGAAAGGGAGGGGGGAAGGAGGGTGGTAATTGGGAGTTAGGCAGTCAGGCACAAGACACTCTCGGCTCCCCAACTGCTCCAGGGGAAATATGATCATCTGCTATGTTGGGTCAAATATTTGGGACAAGCCTATAGTCAATGAAGAGGCCAAGCATTATGTAGCTTTCCCAATCCCAGTGTATGGAAATTGGTTATCTGGTGCCAAAGCGTCCAGCGTCAGTCCAAAGACCAGAATGGTGGCCAATGAAAGTCGTGTTTAGACTTTTCTGTAGTCCAGAATAAAGCAAATTGCTGGCTTTCAGAACTGGTTTGGCAACTTTGTAGGATGTTTCCAGTAACCCCGACCCCAAGAGTGCTTATTCTCAAGCTCAGAGAGCTGTTCCCAAATGCTCTTCCTAAAATGACCTCTCTTTTAATGTTGTTTTCTATCAGGTTGCTTGTTATACCCCAAGCAGTTCTCAGTGGACAACTGTCCGTCCTCTTCATGCCGGGCATGGTGAGCCTGGCATTGCTGTCCTGGGCCACAGGATTTACGTCTTGGGAGGGAGATCTCATAACCGTGGGATCTGCATGGACTATGTCCACATCTACGATGCTGAGAGAGACTGTTGGGAAGAGGGTCCCCAGTTGGAAGATGACATTTCTGGGATGGCGGCCTGCATCCTTACTTTGCCAAGGGCGATTCTCACAGACGGCGAAATGGATGTGTCTGACAGACAGCGCAAGAGAATCCAGGATTACTCAGGTGTGTCTGCTGAGGTCCTGAGAATACTAGATTGGGAGGAATTTGAGAGTATGAATGACAATTAGATATTATTTTGGGATTGGCTTTTCTTATTTGGCTGCCATCGGAACTCTACTAACCTGGAAGAAGCCTGATGCCATTTAATAGTAATAGAGCAGAGCTAAAGCCATCGCAAGAAGCCTTTTAAGGTACAGTTCATTAAACTGATGAAGGTTCTTTGATGAGAAGCTAAACATCTTTTTCCTTAAGGAAAAAACAGCATCCAGTTGCCTTTTGCAAAAGGCAACCATGACCTGGATGACTGAGAATATCTCCATAGATATATAGCTCATTGCTTGGCCAGTGGAAAACCGCCAGAAAAAATACAGTATATATCAGTCAGTCTTCAAATTATTTGCTGACTAGAACAAACCTCAGAAATTTAACAGTAAAACAGATTGCATCAAATTAACTAGGTTAACTAAAAGCTTATGTTCTGCTGAATTCATCACAGAATCTGCATTAAAGATTGTTTGGCATAATATTTTGGCTTTGGTGCCCGTGACTTCACGTTTTTCTTCTCTCGGAACCGCTCATGATAATCACTGCATTTCATACAGATGGGAAGAAAAACAGCCTGTATTTTTTTTCCATATTTATTTTATTTTTTAAAAAAAAATGCTGCATTAGGTTTCCAGTGCACCAAAGTAGCCTTTCCTCTGGACTAGCAAGAAGAGGAAGCTACCAGGATAAGACAAAGGATCCTAAAAAGTCGTTTCTGGCATCTTGGAAGGGAAATTAACGTCTCAGCAGAAGAATCTCAGCAGAAGGTTTCTCGGACATTGCCTCTCAGTGAAAACTGGCTTTGTAAAGAATTATTCCTTGTTTTCAGTCATTTCTTCATCAGAATCTGCTTGGAGGGTTCCAGAAAGTAACAGCTCAGCTCTCGTGCCACCTTCCTCTCCTTCCTTCCTCCCTCCCTTCTTTCTTTCCTTCCTCCCTTCCTGGGGAAACTTAACCTCGGTTGCTGTTCTTCCTATTAATAAAGGCAGTTGCTGGTTGGCGATTCCAAATGCAGCCCCGACGCCTCTTTTGTGAACCTGTCCATGTTCAAATTCTCCTCTGGCGCCGGGCCATAAAGCCACCTGGGCGAAAGGAAGGCGGGCGGCATCCCCGGGGTCAGGACGGCGGCCTCAGGCTCGCTGGGGGTAAAGTCCAGGAGCCCCCGAGCGCCGCAGTCCCGTTCCCGCCCGGGAGCCGCTTCCGAGACTTTCATCTCCTGGCCGGAGGCGTCGGCCTTGCAGCTTCCTCCCCGCCGCGCTCTTGCGGTCCCGCGAGCAGAGCACACACCCCGCCTCCGGAATAGCGGGAACAGGGCCCGGAGAACCCGGGAAAGCCCTGCCCCCTCTAGGCACAGGGCGGGGCCTCACGAGGAAGCCCCGCCTCTCCTCGTCGCAAGGAGCCTCTCCGGGCGGAAGTTCCAGCGGCCCCCGAGGAAGAGGCTGGGCGCGGCTGCGCAGAGCGTGTCGCGCTCCGCCTCCTCCTCCCGCTCCGTTGCAGCGCCATTTTGCCGCAGGCTCCGGCGGGCGCGGCGGCAAGGCCGGAGCAGCGGAGCGAGAGCCCCGCCTGCCATGATGTCGTCGCCGCCCCCACCACCGCCCTCGTCGGGGCGCCGCTTCGACGCGTCGGACCGGGCGGCGTGGTACGCGGGCCCGCTATCGCGGGCGGAGGCGCAGGGCCGGCTGCAGGGCCAGCGGCACGGGACCTTCCTGGTGCGCGACTCGTCCACCTGCCCCGGCGACTACGTGCTATCGGTGTCGGAGAACGCGCGCGTCTCGCACTACATCATCAACTCGCTGCCCGGGCGGCGCTTCAAGATCGGCGACCAGGAGTTCGAGCACCTGCCGGCCCTGCTGGACTTCTACAAGGTCCACTACCTGGACACCACCACCCTGCTGGAGCCCGCGCCCAGGTCAGCCGGCCCTCCGCCCTCGGGTGGGATCGCCGAATGGGAAGGGGAGCAGTGAGCCCTTCCTCGCTTCGGCCTTCAGCGGCTGGATTTAAAAAGGCTCCTCGCGTGAGCAGCTTTTCAGGGAAATGAGCCCATATAACCCTCCATCCCTCCCCCCCCACCATTCAGGCCCCGGGGCTCCCCGAGACGGGCCCGTCTTTAACTGTGATGGAGGGTGGAGAAGGACTCTGGGCAGCCCACAAAGAGAATAAAAGCCCCTACAGTTCAAAAATACAAAGTCAGAAAAATACCAATAATGTAAAGACCAAATAAAAATCAAGAGAGCAGATCTGGCCAAGCACATAAAATCCCCCTGTCAACTAAACTCCTTCCCAAGGCTGGTGTCCACCGTCCCAGTGAGTCAGACAGCAAAAGAAATTCCGGGGACATTTTTGTAACCAAGAGTATAAAACTACTGAAGATTCCTATAGTGCCCAAGTAGAAAAGCCAATTCTGACGATTTCGCTCCAAGGCAGCAAAGGAAAACTTTCCCCTGTGGACTTCCCATTGTCCACCAATGGCTTAAACTCTCTTTGTTTTGGGACGGGTCTGTCTGTCTCGGACACCTTGAGGTGTTGGGTCTGTCTCAGGCTGCCAGCTGGCACACTTGCATTCCAGATTTCCCTCTCAAACCTCCCTTACATTCCAGTGCCTTCCCACCCCCCTCCCGTTACAATTGTCTGGCTGCAATTGTCTGGCAGGCCTTCGGAGAGAGTCACCCATGACAGCCAGGGAGAAGAGCCAGGTCTTTATAGCCCTCCCAGAATGTCATAAGGGTGAGGTGGAATTTCATTCCAGGTGGTGGGCTGTAAAACAGAAAGCATGCCCTGAGCCCCAAAAAGTGTTACTGTTGTTCAATGGCGTCAACCTTGTTGGCTCACATTAGCCAAGTACAAATCAGCACTGTGTCATGTAGGGCTTTATTGGTGATAACCAGCACCTTGAATTGCACTCAGAAGGAAACAGGTGGCCGGTGTAACGGTGTCACGTGTGCATATGAAGGCATGTCTATTATTGCTCGCATCACCAGATGCGGGACTACGTGAAGTTTCCAAGTGTCTTCAAGGGCAGTCCCATGTAAGCTTTTCAGAATAGTTGAGCAATCGGGTGACTGAACAACAAAAGATAGTGTTATGAGGATGTCATTGTTTCATAAGAGATTGAGTAATTCCCATGTTGTCTTCAGGTATCCACTGATGGGTTCTGGTCCTGGCTCTGGTGCATCAGCTGCAGAGGAAAATGTGGAATATGTTCGGACTCTTTATGACTTTCCTGGTAACGATGCGGAGGATCTACCATTTAAAAAGGGGGAGATACTCGTCATTGTAGAAAAACCCGAAGACCAGTGGTGGAGTGCCAGAAACAAAGACGGGCGGATTGGGATGATCCCTGTTCCTTATGTTGAGAAGCTTGTGAGATCCTCACCTCATGGGAAGCATGGAGGCAGGAATTCCAATAGCTATGGGATTCCTGAGCCCGCTCATGCCTATGCTCAGCCTCAGACCTCGAGCCCTCTTCCCAGCGCCACTCATACTCCTGGGGCTGTCATCAACCCCTTGCCTTCGACCCAGAATGGACCAGTCTATGCCAAAGCCATTCAAAAGAGGGTTCCCTGTGCTTATGACAAGACTGCCTTGGCATTAGAGGTAAGCTGTTCAGCTGGAGCAGGTTCCATGCAGCTTAGTTCAGTTCCCTCATCCGGTTGGAAGGGCCTATCTCAAACAGGGCTTTAGCTTGTTCTCTCTGCTTTCTGGTTTTCATGAACTGGTAATGTTCTGATCCCACCTCCCACGGTCAGTCTTAAATGTGGAGCCCTGGTAAAACTCTGTGCCTCTTTGTGATCAGGCTTAGTGATTAGGCTTGGCGTGGGGGGTGCAGCTGACATATTCAGGTTTTGCAATCCATGGAGGCCTTTCAGCTGTTAGTGAATCTGCTTCTCTACTGCAGAATATTAAAATTCTTTGAATGTTAATGAAAGGATGACTGTTCACATTCTAAATATTTAAGCAAAGTAGCCTTGTTTATACTCTATGTTCATTCCATGTTCATTGTACTCCATGTTCATTCCTTCTGCTGAACCTGAGCTGTAGGTCCTAGGCCGCTGTCTGCAACCTGCAGCTCCGAGGCCGCATGTGGCCCTTTGGACCCTCTGCAGTGGCTCCCTGTCAAGTGATCCTACCACTGGCTGGCCCCTCCCCTCCCCTCCCAGTCACTCCTTGCCTGAGAAGGTAAGGGCAATGGCGGGGGATAGAGAAGCGGCTGGGGCTGATTCTCTGGCGCCTCACTCGCTGGAGCTTCTTGTTGGTGCGGGAGGTGACTCAGTCGCTTGGGGAGACGCGAAACCTGGTCTCCACCCCCGAGATACTGGCTCAACCTGGCTGCGACCGATGCTGGCTTTGCTAACACGAGTGCTTGCAGGGTGGGAAAGGGATCCGGGAGGCGGGGACGATGGAAAGGGGGATGGGCCCACAGAGTCCAGCCGCAGCTTTAAAAGTTGCACGGGGGACTTTTCACCACCCGGAGGACGCTTTTCAATGAAAACTGGCAGCGGCACCACTCCACTGTAGGAGTATAGAAGCTCAGGGAAGTGGAAAAGGGACTGGCTCCGCTGAACGTTGCATGCCCACCCCGGGGGTCAGACTTTGAGGAAGCCCAGACTTTGAGGTAGCTGGAGAGCCCACCGGGTCTCCCCCCTCTGTTACTGTGTATCTCTTGTGTGTTTCCTCTCTCTGAAAGCTGAGACTGGGCCAACCCGGCAAGCTCTCCTTGGGGCTCTTTGCTACTCTTTTTCTTTCTTTTGGCAACTTATCTATAAGATATAGGCTTATAGCCTAAGCTTGCTTTCACAATTGTATTCCTTAATCCTTTCTATTTCTTCTTGAAAAATACAGTAAAAGCCCCAGGCACTTATCCTCTTTCTGTAACTCTTTGGTCAGGTTACCCAGTTGTTTTTATCATGTGCTTTTTCTGATACCTGATTACTGTTGCGGTGGCCTCTTTAATTTCTCATTGAACAAATGCCAATATTTTGAGCTTTAAACATTTCCTCCTGATTGGGCAATTATAGAAAATGCTTTTTGTGGTCCACTTCAAAAATGTCAAGATACTTTTGCTTTTGTTTCCCTTTCTTGTTCCTTTATCTAAGTTATTATTAAACTATGTTGTTTTCAGTTGATTGATATAGGTAGAATTTGGCTTTTACTATCTGCATCTTAGCCAATTCTCTTATGTTTGAAGAGATTTAAAGATTTCTTCAGAAAGTCCTTACTTTTTATGAGGGAGTAAAGAATTGCAAGCAGTATGCAGCACCACAGTATCCTGAGGTTGTATTGCCAACATTCAGAAGGCAGGAGTTAATCCTCTACCATGTAGTGTATTGAAACCCTCCAAACAATTAACTGTATCCCTGATGCAATTGCCTTAGAAGTGGACAATTGAATTTAGAAGTGAAGAAAAGAGTTGGATAATGAAAATATTATTTTCCAAATGATATTTTGGAACTTACAGGGGATGGCCCCTAGGTTATGGTGCCTTGATATTCAAATTCAGTTTTAAAAAATTTAAAGGTCAAAAGTGGTGTTTTTCCCCTTATAATTGACAAGGTAGGTGGTACTATTCATACTTAATTTTGTTCTAGCGCCTAGCTATATTTTTCAAGTGATGTCCCTCTCTGCTTCTACATCATCATATCATACCCAGAGCATCCTCTGCTCATTTAGTGCTGCTCATGATAGCAATTGCTAGGAAGCCACAGGGGAGGAGCTCTTTCATACTGCAGGTAAGGCTGAGCCACTTCCCAAAGATGCACACTTGCCAGTTGTGCAAGGTGGCGTGCTGGGCTAGATCAGGGCCTGATCCCACCAGGCTCTTCCTGTGTCTTGGTAGCATCTGGAAGCCTGAAAGGTTGGATCGGACTGATGAGCCAAGGTGGTGCAGTGGTTAGAGTGCAACACTGCAGCCTACTTCAGCTGACTGCTAGCTGCAGTTCAGCAGTTCAAATCTCACGGCTCAAGGTTGACTCAGCCTTCAGGGGTCATGAGGCCCCAGATTGTTGGGGGCAAGAGGCTGACTCTGTAAAACGCTTAGAGAGGGCTGTAAAAGCACTATGAAGCGGTATATAAGTCTAAGTGCTATTGCTATGAGCTGGCATTTAATAGATGATGGGCTGTGCATTAAAGGAAGTTGAATGGAGTAAATGGAGAAAGAGAAAGGGAAATCAAAAGGGTGGGAGCACGTGGGATAAGCGGCAACCAAATCAGGGCATTGTTGACCCATGAAGCAATTCCTGACAACAGAGGACCCGTTATTATTTATTTAAAGCTTTTATATGCTGCCCAATCCCAAAGGACTCCGGGCGGCTTACAAAGAAAATATAAAAAAACATAAAACAATACAATTTAAGAACAACTCTCCCTCATAGGAATTTCCTTGGCCTACCTTGGGTTCGTCTGGGGATGTTTTGAAGAGGTGGCATTCAGTCACTGTCAATGGCTTATGGGTGGAGATTTTGGGTGTTGGTTTGGTTTGTCATGAGAAGCTAAACATGGACTGACTTGGTACTAATTTAATGAGATAGGAACCCCCTCCCCCACAAAGAAACCTTAAAGCCATAAACTGCTGAACAGGAGATTGGCGAAAAATCTCAGATGACAGCAGTGGCAAACCACTTCCTGCCCAGAACAGCACCCAGATGTCCCTGTGAAGTTTTGCTCAGTTTCAAGGATATTTTGCATTCCTTTGCTTAGGTGATGCTGAATTGGGGGGGGGGGGGAGATTGTCCATGGAGGCCAGGCCTGGTTTGTTGGCACCTACCTATTGCTGAGTCTTCTAACAGCTTTGAGGCTGCTCATTGGAGCATCTTCAGGCTTCTCAAAGGTTACAAGTCAGTTCCCTTATTTCTTCTGTGAAATTCAGTGAGCTGCGAGGGGTGGTAACATATCAGTTCGGCCTCAAAGAGTTGCCGATATGAATGGATTTCTGATATTTATAAGGCTTGGTAGACTCTTGGGATAAAATCAGAGGAGGTCTATGAATTCTGCCTTAGGTTCCAGAATAAATCTTTCTCCTTATGGATAGCAACACCTTAATGAGGGCTAGGACTTTTCCCCCCAAAAAACCTGATGTGCAGACAAAGGACCAGAGAGCCTTTGTCCATTCAGCCTGGTTTCTCAAGACTGCCTTGGCCCTGCCTCCCGAGCCCCTCTCGCAGCTCACGTGCCCCTTTGGCATGGAAGAGAGGTGGCTGGCTCCTTGGTCTTCACAGCACATTCCTCCTCCCCGAGAGACAGCTGGTTTGGCAGAGAGAGGCAGGCTGACACTGTAGCCCCCTCCCCCCTTAGTCCAGCCTTGTTTGTTTTTTTAAAGCAGGCCATCAGTTAACAAAGAGGCCTTACCTGGCCTGGAAGTGCCCCATGGTCTGTCTGCCCCTTTTTCCTGGCCTATCTGGGAAGGCTCTCCCAAAGTTGCATTTGCCTTTGTGCTCCAGCCAACACAGACATCCTTGAGAGGCCTGACTGCCAGCCTTGTGTGTCACTGAAGGGGTGGGAGTTTCTTTCCCAAAGAAAAAGAGATGGAAGTGAGCAATCCCTTGGCTTGGGGACAATCCCTTCTGCATTGGAAAGAGCAGCTGCGTGGAGGTGCTCTCCTGCAGCCAAAACTTCCACAGACCTCTGTCAAAATCTTGCACGAGGAGGAAGCAAAAAGTGTTTATCGCTGCTTATTACTGTCATATTTGTGAATGGTTGCTATCCAAGGCAATTGCTAAATGAGACTTGGCTGTTAGATGTAAAACTGCAACTGACAGTTATAGACACACATGCACACTGTCCATATTGGGGTTGAATGCCATGTGGGTGTTACCTGCCGCTGCAAAAGGATTTAAGTTGAACCCACGTTAATCAAGCTGAATCCTAAAAATCAAGATGCACCATCAGGGGGATGATGGGGATCTGCCCCTTTTCAATTCTAGACTTCTGTTCCCCAACCTGGAAACCAATTCGTAAATATATTATTTATACCATTTACTTTCACAAGAACCTTTGACCCATGTATCTATCCAGCTTTTGTAAGTCTTCTGTCTGGTCTTTTGTTTTGCTCTGTCTACTGGCATAAATGGAATTGCATGTCCAAATGGACTGTTTGATTGTATAATTTTAAAGAGGAATTCTCCAATTTTCTGTGACTAAAGAAAATCTCAACATTCAACCTTTTAGCATTAAAAAATGAAACGTTTCCATTTTCTGACACTTGCTATACTGCATTTTAGTCTCACAATACCTTAGAATTTTATCTAATTATATCATTTTTAAGAATTTAATTCAAAGTCTGATAAAATAGATTTATACTCTCCTGCATGCTTGCAGATTTTACTCAACAAATGAAGGGTAAGCATTATCAGATTATCAGTCTCAGATGACCTCTTTTGCCGAACTTGCATTTCTTTTGACTATGCAAAACATGATCTGTGGATTCCCCCATTAATGTGGTGGTAGCTTTCTTACATAAACTTAATGGAAGGGTAAGTAAATCTTGGTGAAAGAAGAAAAAAAAAGTCCCTATAAATTCTTTATATAAATGCAAATCTTTAGTGGAAGGACATTTTAGTATAGTGGTGAAGGAACTAGTCCCGCTTTCTACACATAGCCAGCTGAGAGACCTGGGGCCAGTCAGTCTCTCTCAGCCTTAGGAAAGAATCAATGGCAAACCACTTCCAAATCTTGCCAAGAAAACCGCTGGGCCATGCCCAGGCAGTCACCAGGATGACTCAAAAGCAACTCTTTCGAAGGGTCTCTGAAGGACTTTGCATTTCCAAAGATGGACCATTTTCAGGTTGTCATTTTTTGCACATGTATATCATTTGAATTGATTCATAGTAGGAGAAGGAGACTTCATTTTGTTGGCTTGAAGGCAGGAGAGCTGATCGCAAGGAATGAAGCAACCCATCATCATCATCCACCATGAGAGATTCTCTGGTTAGCTTCTCTTTGATCTCAGCTTGAGTGGACCAGGGAGGTTGCGTCTGCAGAGTGAATGGTGGGATGGAGACCTAAAGGATCCTCCTTGTCATAACAGAGTCCTCCAGATTTGGCTCTTCCAGCCCTGCTAACCGCTGTGTGATTGTTCTGTAATTGGCTGCTATATACTTGCTTTTTCCTCACTAACACAGACCCCTTTTATTGCTGTTTATTACCGATAGTCTTTTTCATCCACTGGATACCACCCAAAGCCAGTGAAGGACCCAGGAAAGGGCTTAAAATTAATTATAAATAAAAGAAATGATTGATTCCCATTGATGTTTTAGTGAACAAGGGGATCCTTGTTACCTGCACTTAATGCCATTGGATGCATATGGAAAGCCTGAGTTGCAGGAACAATCTTAATTCTTTTGCTCAGGAAGGAGGTACTCTGATTGTGGGACAATTCAGGTTTTTGTTTTTTTTAAAAAATGGGAAATTCTTTGGGCGAATGGCATTAAACCAGCTGCCTCATAATAAAATATACTTTGAACTAACAGTTCCAAGAAATTGGCTTTTAAATTTTTCACATAATCCAAAGGTAAGACTGATTTACTCGCATTACCAGCTTCCTCTTTAATTCTAATGATTAATCTGCGTAATCCTGATGGCATTACTCTTTCTTACATTTGCAGGCAATTGGTGGCAACCAAATGTGGCTTCCAAGCCCGGAACCTTCTTTTTAAGAAAAAGCCAGCTTGAGTGTCCTGGGCTGCTAAATTAGCAGGGAATTGTTTTAAATAACATGAAATAAATTCCCTACAATCTAGTAATGCAAAAATACTTGCGTATTATCTGATATCTCAGAATATATAATGAAGATTGTTTGCAGTCCACTCACTGGGAAAGCATGTTAACTCCTGGGATTTTTCCTTACCCTGAAGGGCCAAAATCACTGGGTTGTCTATACGATTCAATACTGTATATGCAAGACACAAAATCTTGGTTGTGTTGTTGGTGTTTGGACATAATTAAGACAGCAAGGTTTTATGGATTAAACGAATTACAGATAGTCCTTGGTTTATAATTGGGCCTAAAATTTCTGTTGCTAAGCAAGGTAGTTAAGGAAGTTGCACCTCATTTTATGACCTTTTTTGCCATGATTGCTAAGAAAATCACTGTGGTCGTTAAGTAAATCTGGCTTCCCTATTGATTTCGTTTGTTGGAAGTCAACTGGGAAAGTCACGAACGGCAATCACACAACACCGGGATGCTACAATCATTATAAGCACCTTCTGGTTGCTAAGCGCCTGCATTTTGGTCATGTGACTATAGGGATGCTGCAGCAGTTGCAGTACAAGGACCAGCTGTCAGCCATCTTTTCAGTGCTTGTGAAACTTGGAATGCTTGTGAAGCAAATGGTAGTAAGTCTCCCAGTACGGAGAACGGGAAGGAGGAATCCTGGGGTTAAAGCAATTATTGATAACAGTACCTTGTTCAACTTTCTGCAAATTCTTTTTTAATAATAAAGGCACATGGAAAAACAGATCTTTTCCCAAATAACAATTTTTCAGGCTTTCTCATTTTTTTAATCTTATTAATTTATAGTAAAACATTTTATAATTTATATTCAAAGATTTCATTGTTTACACTAGCTCAAAAATCCAAAAGTATAACAATGGAGGTATCGCAGGCGTAGAGCTGGATTAGTCTATGGCAGCCAAAAGTCAAGAGGAGAAAAGAAAGGATCACCACAAAAGATTTTGACTAGAGAAGAGTGGAAACTTGGTAAAAATGGCAACCTTATAAACAACACAGAAAGAAAAGATATTTTTGTCTTTCATATGCGATGTTAGAATTTGAGATCATTCATTGAACCACAGAGAAAGAGAGATTTAGAGTCCCCAGAAACAGTTTGACATCATCAGACCCTGGAATTTGCTGCCGGCCAGTTTGAGTAATTTCAGAAGAGAAGGTTTGTGGAGAAAGTCATTCTACTTGCTACTGAGGCCATTGACCTCTTGGCTCGAAGATGGCCTGCTTCAAGTAGGGGTGCCTGGGACAGCTCAGATGATGAGTTTCCCAAAGGCACTGAAGATCGGCTGAGGTCCTGATCTGAGGAGCATTGCCTTTTGGGGGGTGGTTGTATGCAGATCACTTGAAGGAATGTAAGAATGTTCTTGAAATGCAATTCTTGTAGGAAGAAATAGAACATCCCGTGTGTCTATGCAGTTGTATTTATTTTTTTCTTTTTTGCAGGTTGGTGATATTGTGAAGGTCACAAGGATGAATATCAATGGTCAGTGGGAAGGAGAAGTCCATGGAAGAAAAGGGCTCTTCCCCTTCACACACGTCAAAATAATCGATCCTCAGAATCCTGATGAAAATGAATGATCTGCTGGCCCATCTCTGCATTGCTGCTTCCTTTTTCTGGCTATCTTGAGCATCATTTGAAGTGTGATGGTTGCTGATGGTACATCCTATGGATTGCCAGTCGCTCATGTTTCCATCTTGCAATGATTTAACAGCCTGACCATGTCTCTTTTGGGAACGCACCTGGTAGTCCGGTATTTGCAGTTTCTCCTAGAAGGTTTTTTGACTGTGAGCTGATTGTGGTGCTATCTAGGCAGAGGGGGAGGGATCAAGACATCCAGCTGAAATGGATATTTTACTCAGAAAGAGAATTCTAAACAATTTTGTCTAAATCCAAATTTATGAGGCATGGAAGATGAGAGCACATAATCATGTTAAACAATTATGTCTTTAGGGAATTATTGATGCATCTGTGCTACAAAGAAGGGTTTATTTGAGTCAGCCATTGATTTAGAATAAATTGTAGCAAACTCTTGAAAACTACATTTCCTCATTGTCATCTTTATAACCATGTATAATTGATTCATTTGCCATATACCTGCCTAAACCTCTGTTTGATTCAGATTTATTTAGATCTGAAATGATACTTCAGGCACTAAATACTTTTTAGAAGAAACTTATGCAAGCTATGTTGAAACTACATTTATCCCTTTAAAATCTTTTTTTAAGCAAAAACAAAGCATTGATAATCAGTTACATAGAATGCAACAATAACGCAAAAGATACTCTTGGGCCTTTGTTTTCTGCATGGGGACGCAGGAGTACAAAGTCATGGCAAAATCATTTCTCTGCGCTAAGTCTAAACACAATGAAATATGATAATGAAGAAACTTGAATGTTGGTTATAGCATGTGAAGACCTTGACTCCCTGAGTGATGTTTTTGAAAGTTCACTGATGCTGGTCTCTTGAGCGGTTGGACCTCAGGAGTGACACGTCTAACTTAGTATTCAAGTGCCTTAATCAGAGGATGACAGGTGCTGAAGGGGATGGCGGTTGGAGCAGTTTGGTCTAGAGAAAAACCTTTTCAGATCAGCAGCAGTGCTGGGCTGATGATCTGGGGAAAGGACTGTAAATTAGACTTGCCTGGATACTTTGTAATGGACCATAATGTGGCTGTTCTATTAAGTGCCTGGGCACATTTGAATGACTGTCATACTACTGAGCTTTGTGTTAGGAATATTTAACCTGTACTAAACATTCATCTGCCATACAATAATTCTGCCGCACAGCTGGCCTAATTCTATGAACAATCCTTCAGGACATTACCTCAGCCGTGTGTGAAAGTTTTGCCTCAATGAGCTGCAGGGTGAGCAAGGACATCTGGAGTTGAGCTAGTGATGATTCTGCTGGGCTACCTGTGAAACAGCCGACACTTTCCCTTTTCTTTGGCTAGCTCCCCCCTCAGTTGCTTTCTTGCTAAGCGGAGGTTGAGATTTGATAGACAACTGTGCAATTAAGTCTTGAGCAGGAGAAGCCGGCAGTCAGTGGCCTTCACACCCATCAAGAGTAGACTTGGAACAGCTTTGATCACAGCTGGGGAAGACAGTTCAGGCGCAGTTTACTAAATTGATGGTACATTTCAATGACATCCAGATGTTGGCTCCATGGCTGCTTTTTTCTCTGTCTTGTTCTTTCCTACCTAGAGAGGTTGGATGTGTTTCTGATTGTGAATGTCACAAAAGATGAACTGTCCTTGCTGTTTGCTTAGGACTATTCAGAAACGTTCAGAGAGCCTCCTGTGGAAACCAGCTACGCTCTGCATAATTTTGAAGATTTTTTCTGCCTGTGCTTTTTCATGTAAGGCATTGAAAGCCTTGAAGTGGAATCCTTGTACTCAGAAATTAGTTTGCTCTTTGAGCAGGAGGATGCATACCGTGCCCAATGGCTGCGGAAGGTCTTCCGTTTCTTCATTGCAACAATTGATGCCTCAGGTTAGCAGGGAAGTCCTAAGAGCTCTCCCTCGCCAAGAAAGTCTGGACTCAGATCAAGGAAGGTCTTGCAGGTTGTCTTCTTCAGGAGTGAAAAGCATTTGTTCTGATATTTCATATATGTTTTTATTTTACTTTGCTGGTGGGAGGGGGGATGAAATGTTGTAGAATGAGAATATTTGAACACTGGTTTGGCTGCCCCGCCAGGAATACATTTTTCTGGTGTCTCTCCAACTGAAGGGGATAGCTGGTTGCCATTCTGTGGTGGGAAAGGGTAGTCTGAAGTTCACACATCTTTTAAGTCAATGAAGCATCATTTGAATTCTGGGCCGTTTGGGGAGGCGGCTCCCTGGGAAGAGCTGGGGATGCCTAGCTGAAATAGGCAGTATAATGATATGTGGGAAAGGCCTCGGGGTGAGTGTATGTGAGATGCGGACTAGGGACAGGATAAACCACTGGATAACCCAGCTGCACGGGTGGAGCAAGAGGTTTAGAAGGCTCTCCTCGCTAATTTATCAGTCTGTAAAGGAGACTGGAATATTTGTACTTTCAGACTTGCAAGATTCTATTAACGTAGCTTTACAAGGTTTTTAGGCCCAAACCCAAAGATGACACAGTGAAATCCTATTAACTCCAATCCTTTATTATCTACTTCTAATGGCAGAATCTTGCCAAACTAAAGCTATGACTTTCTACCTTAATAGGGTGGGTGGACTAGAAGACCTCCAAGGTCCCTTCCAACTGTTTATCCTAAGAGATTCTTGGTGTGGATACCCTGAACCACTTCCTTACTCCCTGGCAAAGCTCTGCTTCTCCAGGTGTACATTCCACCACAGATAGAATAAGCTTATTTGGTCATGTTTCCTGTCTGGTCTACCAATATCTAGCTTGCAATCTTCCTTCCATCTCTCTACAGCCGAAGAAATTAGGGAGATTCCCTCCCGAGCCTCTTGCTCTGCCCTCTATTGCCTGGGCTGCCTCTCCTCCCTGTGCCTCAAGGTCCTTCTCGCACACCACTGCAGGCTGCCAGTCCACTTCTTTGGGCCGAAAGAGGTGGACTGAGGCTCTTGCTCACCAGGGACCGACTCCTGAGATTTGTGGGCTTTGAGTCCCGAGAGTTTGTCAAGGATTTTTATTTTATGCTACAAATTAACAGTATTAAATATATTTTTAGAACACGTGAAATGTGTTAAAATTAGTGCCTTTTTGTTTTCTTAATATAATTCACTACTGGTCCCACATCGAGCAAAGGAGTTCCGTGCCCTGTTTGTATTACTTTCAATAAAACATGCATCCTGTTTGCAGAACTCTTGTCCCGTTTCTTTCCTCGGCAAGTTGTCATCCAGCCCTGAGTAAAAGGTAAAAAGCGAGGTGGTTTTTCTCCATAGTGAGGGGGGAGGAGTATCCAGGATGGGTTTGACCTTAACCTCTCGTGGTTGGCTTAACTCAGATTAACTCTTTGCATGCCGCCGCCTTGTGGTGAGCTTGCCCAGATTTCTGGATCAACGCGG